ATAAAATGCGTTTATTTATATATAGCAGTGCTTTTTGTTGTGGATTGTATAACGCATAGGATGATTTATCCATCCTGGGTTGGTAATTTAGTATTTTCCATGAGCTCCATATCATTCGACTGAGTTGTAATTCCTTGACTGATTGATACGCTGCGGTTGGAGCTTCAAGTCTCCGAACAACCAGAGGTGAAACCTACATCCACAACAAATTTATCCTGTGTGGGTTTCTAGAAACATCGGTTAGGTTGATGGATGGTGGGGGTGAAGTGATTGGGGAAAATGATAGGCATTTACAAATATTCAAGAATTTAAACGTATTCATTGTCCTGCACGTTCTGAGCAAAGAACAAGTGAGGTTATGCAACATTGCTCGAACTGCTTTTAAAGTCTTCGCTCACATGCTTTGATTTGGCTGCTGGAGTCTTAGGCAGTTACACTAATTTATAATAATTATAAACACGGTGTGGTGTGACTTTGGGAACTTGCAGTGACCCACAGTTCTTAAATACTCTCATTGTAAAGTGGGTATTTTCTTTGTGTTTTCTTAAACTGTTGTTACTAATTATTACCGTTATTATTGTTTTGGAATGCTGCTGTGGTGTCGCGGTTATCACACTGGATGGAGGTCGCCAATTTGATCGCTGAGCACGGCAGTGGAAAGACCGGACGGGTTTCTTAAACCCCTCCCTCCTTTATCCACCCGACATCATCAGTGGGGAGAGCGCAGCGAGTCGATCACGATCGGGACGCAGACTCGGAGGATCAGACTCTTCGTCACCGCCCGGCTCAGACTTGGTCTCGAGCACGGCTCAGCCAAAGCTTGGCTCAGGCTCAGCTCATTATTACAAATCGGCGTAGAACGCCTTGTTGTTGTGTTTACACAGTTGGCTACGTACGGTGCGAAAGAAGTTCAACATACGCACATGCATATGTACGACTAAATCCTAAACAAGACTGGGGCCAAGCTCACAAGTGTCTCCAGTGAAGTGTGGCTCTAAGCCAGGGGTGGGCACATTTTTTGACTCACGGCCAACAATGGGTTCTAAATTTTGACAGAGGGGCCGGGCCAGGAACAGATGGATGGAGTGTTTGTGTGAACTAATATAAATGACGTGTAAAAATCATTACATAAAAGGATTTGGCCTTTAACAGGTAGCAAAGTATTTATTTGCAAGGCAATTTAACAAATTGCACGAACATGAACAATACAAAAACATGTCGTAACGAGACTTATCAAACATCATGAAACATCTGAGGCCTGCGCCTAAACCAATGACCTCACTTGAACTTCTTTATGATCTACATTAACAGGTTAGAGCAGTCAGGCAGGCTGTGTGTCGGAGATTTGGCTCAACCTCGCTACAGCAACACATCATCACTGTCAGTTTCAGTGGGAACAGTGTTGTTGATCTCCCATTTTTTCCAGTGCATCCAAGTCTGGAGTTATTTTGGTTGTGGCAATTCGCAGGATAGATCTGAGGTGCTAAAACCGTTAACTTTGATCTGTGATGGGCTTTGTTGGCGTTCATGGCGCTGAATGTCTGCTCACACACATAAGTCGAGCCAAACAAAGTCAGCATCTTCTGTGCAGTCCTCCGGAGGTTTGGAAACGTGGCTCTGTTAAGTGAAACATAAAAGTCATTCAGTTTAAGAGATTTGAACTTCTCCTTTAGGACAGAGTCAGACTGGAGATCTATCAGTTCCAACTGCAGCTCCTGTGGTGCTGTTTCAGAGTCTTGTGACAGGGGACAGGACACCAGCTGAAGTGACTGTTCAATGTTTTCGAAATCAGAGATCCTACGGCAGAATTCTCCGTGCAGGTCCTCAAGTGATTTGATGTATTTTTTTGCGTTTCGCGCTGCCTCTTCCTGCATGGCAAGTGTGGGGGAAATGAGCGAAAGATTTGTTTGCAATTTGTCTGGAGAACAAAGTGAGCTTGGATTTGAAGGCCTTCACATGTTTGTACATGTCGTGAACAAACTGATCTTTCCCCTGCAGTTTCACATTCAGCTCATTCATGTGTGAAAATATGTCCACAGCAAACGCAACGTCACTAAGCTAGTTCTTGTCGCTTGGCTCAGGGAATTCGTCAGATTTCCCCATCAACTCCAAAAATGCGATGATGTCCTCTTTCAGCTCCCACACTCGTTGTAACACTTTCCCCAAACTTAACCAGCGGACACGAGAGTGGTACAGCAAGTCCTGATGATCCGCATCAGTTTCCTCCAGGAACGTAATAAACTGGCGGTGCTGAAGTCCCCTTGCTCGTATAAAGTTAACAAGTTTTACGGCTGGATTCACGACATGACTAAGCTGCAATACAGACTTACACAGGGATTCCTGATGGATGATGCAGTGAAGGAAAATAAGATCCTGGTCAGGGTTTTCCTCTTTCACTTTATTCTGGATTCTTTTCAGCAGCCCAACATTTTTCCAGTTAAATTTGGCGATCCATCCGTTGTGACATTGACATGTTTACTCCAAGGTAGTTTCATTCGTTCGATGACAGCAGACACCTGGTTATACAAGTCCTCTCTCCGCGTTGTTCCTTTCAGGGACTCCATGGTCAAAAACTCCTCTGTTATCGCAAAACTGTCGTCAAAGCCTCGGATAAAAATGAGGAGCTGATCAGTGTCTTTTACGTCCGTACTTTCATTCAGTGCTAGTGAATATAACTCAAAGGAATCAGACTTTTTATTTAATTGGCTGGTTATATTTTCACCAATCAGTTCCACACGGCGAGTCACAGTCATGCCACCAAAAAACTTGCCTTGGTAGTTGACTCTTGAATCGCAGTTTGTCGGTGAAAAAATTGTTGCTGAGTCTGTAAATTAGCCGCCAACCTCTGAGCCGTAGCCGCCCGTTCTTGCGTTGACTGCTTGCTAGCGTAGTTAGCATGCTTCGTAGCAAAGTGACGGCTGATGTTGTACTCCTTGAAAACCGTGACAGTTTCTCGGCATATCAGGCATACAGCCTTCGATTGGACTTCAGTGAAAAAGTATTTTGTTGTCCACTCCGTTTTAAACACTCGGCACTCATTGTCCACTTTTCGTTTCCTTGATCCGCTCATTTTACAGAAGGGCTCACAGGGCAAAGCGAAAAAGTGAGGGGAGCACCGTATCTAACTCAGCAATGTAAACAAACCCTGAAAATGGCGCTGACGGCCCACAATGTATTGTGAGATCATGTGCCCTTTCAAGCCCTATACACCACACTTCCGGTCAAAGTGCGCCATCTAATTGGGAAATGGCGGCATTACAGGAGAAAGGTAAAATTTAATTTAATAATAATATTTGGACAAGTTCGGCGGGCCGGATTAAAAAGCCCAATGGGCTGTATACGGCCCGGGGGCCGTACTTTGCCCATGTCTGCTCTAAGCCACCTCATTTGAGCATGAGCCCAGCCATGACAAAGAACACGAGGCTGAGACGTTGTTTTATTATTATTGAGGACGCAACTCGGCTTGTTTGATACCAAGCGTCTGTCCGAGCTCGGGACGCCAATGGGATAGAATGAACGTCTTCCCGGATTATCGGCCGCCTGGTGTAAGAGTGCCAACAAGAACGTTTTGGGGCATGTGACTCAATTCCGAGTGGTAAAGCCTGCCTCACCGGTTCTCTCTGCGAGAGTGCCTGGGGGAGTGGATGAGGCTAAGGGAATTGCCACAGCCCGTACACAATTGATAGCCAATGTTAAGACAGTGAGACAAGGGAAGGATTCCCGTTTGGGGGATTGTGCATGCAGAGACCTCTAGAGTCGGTATTGTCTCACCTCGCTTGAAATGATCAGCCTTAGGAAACTTTACACCTAAGCTTTCTGGTAAAACAGGGCTCCTCTTGGTGAGTAGGAGCTGTGAATGAATGTGAATAACACAATTATGTTCCAAAGGCTTCTGCAGTGTCTTCCGCTTCGGTGAGTGCTCAATCTGTAATGGGGTCACCCCCAATTCAAGTTGCTTTAGGGCCTTCTTGATTTGCTTCAACAAACATACCTAGGCATCCCAAAACACAGCTCCGTGTGCTTAAACAGGCATAGATGCGGCACAATATTCATTCTTCTCGCACCAAAGGTCTGAGCTGGTACTTCACTGCAGTTAATGCCACGTAGTTTTTTAATCACAGCCATCACAGAATCACAGCTATAATCACACATAATGTTTAAAATGTATATTTTTGTTGTTGGAAGTGCGTTTTCTTTCTCCATGGAAAGGAAGCATTCATGCAGATGCAGAATAGATGCCTGAGTGCATGCACCAGTCGTCTGCGAACACAGCAAGGAGCAATCCATTGCAGTGGAGTCATTATTTGAACAAAATCAATAAACCCGGAATATGTTTTGCAGGTGTCCTTTTCACGAGTCACAAAAACAAACAATCCACTCTTACAAATGGGGAGCTAGGCCGTGTACAAAACACATTTAAAGGGATATACATTGTACATTGTTCTTTGTGCGTGACAACACAATAACAAACATCCTCCCTGTGCTTCCGGCTCTTCTCTGTTCGATATTGGATGCTCATTTACCTCCCAGCACCAATGAGGTTATGATGGTCTGAACCTACGGTCGTGGGACAGGGTGAATTGCACGTTCCGCAGCTGTGGTGCAATGGTGGTCATTGCACCGATTGTGGCCTGCAATCTGCAGTGTCGTGAGTCCGATGTTGACCACAGTGTGTGTGTGTGACAACTTAGCAACGTTGTGCAACTTGACATTGCCTTTGCCTCAAATTGGGCACGACTTATCACAGCTTGGGGTTGTGACGTCACTCGAGGATTGACTCCGCGTTTTTCGCGATTGCTCTCTGGTCGGTAAGTTTTCGAATGTTTCAATCACGCTTGCACACGCGTGTTCACGCCATTCGCCCGGGAGTGGAACACCAAATATCTTTGCGTCGTCGTTCAATGCGCCTACCGAGCGAGGGTGGCCTTTGATGGTTACAAACCCTGATTTAACGTGTTGTTGTTGTTGTTTAAAGTGGATTTCCTTTTTCCTCTTCGCAGATTGCCAAGCAGGAAAAACAGCAGCAGAGGCAGCAGCAGACAAAACCCAAAGTAAAATCAGCGGCAGCGTCATCAGAGCAACAAGACAACCCAAGTGGAGCTGAAGAAGGCAGCACAGCACGAAGCAGTGACTGATCGCGTTGCTTGCGAACAGGCAAGCACTTTTAGTTCATTTGAACATGACCAGCACCATCCTCCAGAGTTTCTCGATGTGCGAGACGGGCACGTTCGGCATGGTCCCCACGTCTCGAGCACGTGCTCGTTTTTTTCTGTTTTTCTTTTGACCGATTGGAATGATTGAGGTGATTTGTAGTGATTGCTGCATTTGCCGATGGAGGGTATCTTTTTATTTTCCAAGTTTGCTAGAATTCCGTGTTCACACTCACGTTGGCTTGTATTTGTTCTTATTTCCTTATGGAGTTTTCGTTGTTTGCAGTTGCCATTGCCCTGTTTGTGTTCATAGCATCTCCATTTATACTGTTTGAAACTGCTCTACCAATGTCTTTATTGGCAATGAGACGTTTAGTCTCACCGTGCCCTCAAGACGGTAATAAATTATTGATGATGTTATAACAGATATGTAGATGTTCACTGGTTTCTTAGCATGTGGTTGCTACTTTGACTTTTTGAATGCGAGCTGGAAATGGATACATTTGTGCGGAGCAACTGAAAGAGGCCAAACATCCTGAAGGCAAAACTGTATTTCACATATAATGAGATACAATTGTGCATATTATAAATGACAATGAAAAGGCAGTGTTCTCATACATGAATGGAACATCAAGGGAAGGCTAACTTCACATCTTAAACAACAACAACATCATCCCACGTCCCTCTCCTTGCAGTGACGCCGACGGGCGTTCTTCCCTCACGACGAGCCTTCACTTTGGACACAACGCTAATTTACAGGCCCAGGCTTCGGTGCTTGAACTTCATCTTCTCACCAACCGTCCCTTCCCCTCGTGCTCTCCCCCTTTTATATCCCTCGCCCAACCCCCACATCCCTCAGCCAATCCTCGTCCTCCTCCAACGGCCGCCAAAGCGCTACCAAGCTCGTTTTCCCGCCTTTTACCTTGGAATTTCTCATCCAATCAGCGTCATTCTCTCACCGTAACCAATCCTCTTCGAGGCCTCCCTGCACCAATGAGAGGTCCCTGAACACTGTTGCTGACCGTCCGTCTGCACCCGTGGACCCCGTCAGGCAAGTGGTCTCTGTCGCTTCGGCCTTTGCATATTTACAACTCTGGCTTTTGGACGTTACAATTGCTGCACTGCGTCCCCATGAACAGCTTAAAACGGGGCCAGCCTGATTCACGAACCTCAAAAGTGGTCCTGACCCGGATCCCCATGGCAACTGTGAACCAATCCGCGTGAGCTGGTAGTGAGCTGGTAGTGAGCTGTAACCGAGCCTGTCTCCCGCGTGTGGCTGACAGAAGAAGAAGTAGAAGCTCTCTTAGCCAAGACAGCTGCCCACCTTCAGTCAGGCCGTCCTCGGTGACAGTCGCGATGTTATGGGGATCGCCGTGGAAGAGATGCGCCATGAGCGGGGTCTCGCTCGGCGGGAAACGTCGGGGTCGTGGTTTTTTTATTGAGGGGGCAAAAAAAACTGCATGAAATTACAGAATTGATCGATTTTGCCTCAGAATAGTGGAAGCTAACCCATGCTGCGTGTGCTGAATCTGGTTATCGTTTTAAATTAAAACACGATGATCCCTTCTCGTCTCCCGTGAAGGTGTAAGGGAGATGGAGGAGTGAAGGAAGATGCCCAAGGAGCCATGCTTGAGGTCAGGACCTCGGTCACCCAGGGACATTTACAGTCATAGCCTTAACAGACTGTAGGGGCAAGTGTTGTTAGCGAGCACCTATGAAGGCCGGAACGGTACACGGGGGGGGTGGGTGACCAGCACCCCGCCTGGCCGCCTTTGTCTCCCAAGTGGCGATGTTTACACACCGCACCAGGTACTCATTTGAGGCTTAGTCGACCAAGGGGAGGTCCATGACCGGTTCAGACAATCGTCACTGGTGTTGACCGTGAGCGCTACTAACACTGCCGTGACTGGAGCGGAGCGTTTGACTGGCAACAGACTTTACGATCGAGCACGTGTAGATGTTCTTTAAACACACTTCACTCGTGCAGTCTCACTCTTTATTCTTCCATATGGCGTGGTGATGAGAGGCGTCGTGTTCATGTAGAGGGCTGCTGGGGGAGAGCCACGGGAGTGATGCTGTGAGATGTTGCCGATGGATTGAGTGAAGTTTGGGACATTGTTGGTGGTTTAGTTGCCGTGGTTTGCCTTTGATAAACCGCAATGTGGGCTGGCTTTTCATCTTGCTCAGGGTGTAGTAGCGGTAGCTGGCCACACCTGTTTTGCCTACCCATGGTCCGTCAGGCAGTACTTTGTGTATTTGAACACGGACAAGCACAGACAGAACCCAGTAATATGACCTTAGGGTAAATAATGACAAATCAGCACCATAGAATCAGAAGCAAATAGCAGAGCTTAATCAGGACTACCCTGTCACTGAATAAAAATCAACTGATTAGGTTTTAAAATTCAGTGGATCGCTTTCCTTAAAGCTTTTATTGATGGAAATGTTAGTTTGTATTTTGAATTTGAATTAAGACAGCTTTTAAAAAGTACATAGGGTCAGCTATGGCCTATTAAAGTCAGAGATAGCTGGTCATCATTTTATTTATGAGTTTTGAAATGGAAAAACTGTGTGAGTGGATTTTTAGAGGGTTTTCAGGGGCTCTTCGTGGAATTTAGAGACTTTATATAACCAAACGAATATTATTAGTGGATTCACAGGCTTTCAACAGGCACACTTCAGCCCACGAGGACCTTTTTGCCAAGAGGCAGAGGCAGCTCATTAAGGAGAGTCAAAAGAGGCAGTGCTTCCAAATTCGTTGTAATAATATGAATACATAGTGCTTTTTAAATTGAAAGATTTACTATAGATCAGTGTTCTTCACAAATTTTCAGAGGGTGAGAGGCCATTTTCGCCGATAAGACATCATTAGTGAGAGGGCCGCCACACATTTTAAACCATTGGGGGTTTGACAGCAGCAGCACGATGATGATGATGGGGAGTGTTTTCACATTTGCGTATTGTCAGGGGCCACAATAAAGACCATTGGTGGCCCGCGGGCCTTGCAATGAAGATCACCGCTCTAGATCATGAGATTCTGCCATGGTGTAATGCTTCGCACAATGGTCTTCAAATCCAGAGGTCGTCAGTTTGATCTCCCGGTGTGGCAGTTTAAATAAATCCACCGCACCCACCCCCCACTCCATCTCTGTCCACCCTGCAGTATAAATGTGTACACTGTCACGTGTGGTGGGGTAAAGTGTGGGCACTCCCACCTCTTCAAAGATGTATGTATGTTGAACCTCTTTCGCACCGTGCGTAGCCAACCGTGCTAATCGGAGGTGCCATATGTCTGGCCAGCGTGGAAGAGTAGGCCAAATACCCTCTACAGATGGGCTCTTTAAAGCGCCCTCTATTGGAGGAACTCCGCCAGCAGTGGCGTCAGAGAGCGATTGTCGTGTTCCACCGTAACCTACTCAAACGTGCGTTGCAGTGATTGTTTTGCTGTAGCACACGGACATGTTCATGCATATTAAACACACCGTGTTAGTTATTTAATAATTCCTGAATGGCCGAGGGACGTGGTGGTTCGTGGTATAACAAAACTCCAGTGGATGGCGACATCAACTAAAACACTTTTTACCGAGGTGCACACCAGCACTCGTTTTGTTCTGCGTGTGTGTGTGCCCTCTGGTGGCCGACTCAGCCTCAAATGAGCAGCTGGTGCGGTGTGCAGTCATCATTGCCACTAGGGATACAAAGGCGGCCGGGCGTTGTGCGGGCCAACCCACTCGCTCGTGTGCCGACCCGGCTTTCAGAGATGCACTTGCCCCAACAGTCTTTTAAAGTTTATACGGGGGATCTTTGTCTTTGCCCCCTGGTGAGGCCTTGCCCGTGTCCTCTCTGTGGGTGGGGGGGGGTTATTGCCGGAGGAGATGCTCACTTCTTCCAGGGCCAGACATTCACTGCGGAACAGACTTGCCATCTGGAGTGCCTCTACCACTTTCCTAATCCTTAATCCAGACCGTAGTTTGTAATTAGGTAGGGGCACAAAAACTAAATTAAGGTAAGTGTACCATTAATTCAGATTGATTTTATAATAAGAGATTAACTGATAATAATCAAGTATTCCAGCGGTGATTAATGCAGGTCATGATACACAACTCGTGAATTATTTCTTACTCATTACTGCTGTAAGGCCCTATTTGTCAATGCATTGCTGGACGATGTGTTGCCATGCTGTGTGGGTCATGGGGGTTATTTGACCATACTTAACTCTGCTGGTCAATCTGCGGATTGATGAAGGCAGGGAGTAGACGTTGCAGTATTGGTTAGTACAACAATGCATAACTAATACCAATTATAAATTATGTAAATTCTATTCTTGGTTCTTTCGGTAAAGTCACGTCGAAACAATAAAATAATACAAATATAAAACAATACAATTCTCACGACGTTTCGACTGCAACACAAGCAATCATCAAGAATATGAATCCCTGCAGTCACGAAAGCTTTAAATCAAAAGATGTAAATTCTATTTGTTATCTTATGAATTATACATTCTCAATAATCATGAGCACTGGGCTAGCGCCCTGAGGTTGTCTCCTAATTATTTTGCCCAACAGTCACCGTTGCTTACATCCCGTTAATTCTTGATAAGGCCCGAAGGGCACTGCTTTTAAAAAAATGTTGTGAAAATATTGATGGTTCAGAAGCATTTGGAAGGTCTGTTTGCTTTGACATCCTCCCAAGAGAATGCCCAACTTGTCTGGGATTGTATTATTATACGTGATTATATCCTCATCCTTCACTATCCTTAGCTACATCCTCTACCTCCCCGATTGCATTGTCATCCGACCCAAATGGTTTTTCATTTGGATCAACAAAGTACACCATGTGACCGCAGGGCCTGAAACGACCCGAGGTCCCCAAATGCCCCAATGGTTTGTAATCAGCCCAAAGTCCTTCGGTGACTCCGTGATGCCCAGATGACAAACAATCCTCCAAATGAACCATGCCACCCCGTACATGATTGAAATTCCGCCTCCCCCCCCCCCAAAGAAAAATGAAATAGGAGTTTCCAAATTACGTAAGGTCCCCAAAATTACAAATTTCCCTTCCCACGAATACGATTCAGTACAATAATGTACAATGTCATTTTAATTGAAATCGCGTCTCAATACCACCACGTCTTGAGACACTGTAGATGTTTTTGCTTTCTACAGCGAGGCAGGCAGAAGTCAGAGGTGGGCAGGAAAACGAAGGAAGGCCTCGTGTCTGGACAAGAGCAAGGTCAAGGAGTCAACAGCGTGGATCGCTGGGGGGAAGAGAGTTGCAGACCGTGACCCACATGACCCTAAGGAGCTCGTTATCACGATTTAGCAACTCTAGACGCTTTCTCTGCCAAGTTAATAAACTCCTTCCATCATTCTCTAAACGTCGTACCATATTTCCAATGAAGCATTCACTGTTGCATCACTCATCATT